TGCATCCTGACTGAGATCACCCAGCCTTCATCTAGTTCCCTCTCTCACAGGAATGTCATGTTACTTTTGTTCACCTCCTTGGTTGAAAGGAGAGTAAAGCAGGTGAGCCTCTGAAGGTTTTAATGTAGGAAAAAAGCTATTTAAGTTAGGTTTCATCCCAAATCTACTTTTCAGTTTATTTAATCCTTTTTGCAGCTGTTGGTGAACCTGTGCCCTTCATGGTCTACAGGTAATCATTCACTTTTAAACAGTAATACAACCGGAGTTATATGTTCTACATGATCTGTCAAAACTAAGAAACAGTGAAGAGCTGCAGAAGGAAAAAAAAAATACAAAGAGAAATGTAAAAAGTGAGACAGAAACCATCAAAATAGAAAAGTTGAGGCAGACAAAGTCTGGGTAACCGTTTTGACAGGCTGACAGGAAGCCACTGTCTTTATGCTGTGAGGACTTCGTCCAAATTTCACTGGTGGCAGTAGAATGGCTTCAGCAGGCTTCGATTCAAACCTAATTCAGCCAATTTATTGAATGATTTCTTCATTTTTGTCACACCAGTCTTGTTGCTGAGCAGGGATGAGGAGGAAGAGGACAAGGGGAGGCTAAAGGAAAGCTGACCACACAAATGTAATGTTGGAAGCATTAGACTGCATGGGGTGGTTCAGCCTCCACAAAGAACCAAACTTATTCCCATGGAAACCAATGTTCGAAGATGAATAAGTAGCCTGGCTCTCAGCAGCTCCCTTTCCTTTTTTCTCTTTTCTTCTCTCTTGGCATGTTTTGTTGTTGTTTTTGGTAAAGGGAAAGAAAGAGTCTCTTCACCTCCAAGCAGCTTGAGAAAAGACTGGCAACATTCATTCCACTAATAAGCTGGCAATTAATGCAAAAAGGAATGTCCTGGATTTCTCAAAGAGATGTATTTTTCAGCAGGAGCTAGTCAAGATGTTGATGAGGTGTTTTTTTTTTTTTTTTTTTTTTTTTTTTCTCCTTGTTGTTGTTTTGTTTTATTTTGCTTTGTTTTGTTTAAATGGAAAGTACACTTTCTGGAAAAAGGGGGCTGCTAAACTGGTGTTGTAAGTCTGCCCTCACGTGTTGGATTTTAACTCTTCAGGAGAGAAAGTATAAGTAAGCTCAAAGGAATCCACCAAATATATTGTGGCACCACCCAGTACAGATCCTGAGGACTATGTTTTTTTTTTAATTCTGAGGTTTACATACTGATGTAGGCATACCAATGGGTTACACACACAGGGAATACACAGAGGTATGCACTATCCATTTGATGTAGCAGATATGGGTCATTATAATTCCTGCACTAAGTAGATAATGAATTCAAAGGGATTGTTACAGAGGTGTTGCTGATGGTATCAATGTTATAATGTGTTGCAGCTATTGACTGATATAAAAAGAGGCAGTCAAAGGTGGGCTGAAAAGCATGAGTATTATCAACTTTTAGTAAGTAAGGAAGATACTCTCAGTCTCAGAAGTCTGAAGGAAATTCTTTACATTTGGCTTCTAGTGAGGACAGTTTCTGAGAATAGGAAGTGCTGCAAGATATAGCATCATATGGTAAATTTCCAGTGTGAGTCAGCATGAATCTGTGCCTAGATGGGGCACAAGTGGTTCTGCAGGCTTTGGAACTAATGAAGCCAGGTATCCTGCAGGCTTGCACCTGCAGCTGACTGACTCTGGTGTCTCTGAAAGTGTCAGTGCCCACTGAACTTTTGGTGTCATAAGCGTGTACAGAAAAGCTTTTCCATCCAAAGGATGTGTGGATCCTCTGGTAACTAAATGATGATCTCATGCTGCAGCCTTTCCTTTAGGAGGGAATACATTTTGGTTGCTCTTTCTTTCCCCTCTCCAGACACCTGTTTCAGTAAAACTTACAGCAACATAATTGTCTGTCCCTCTATTCCACTTGGCTGATATCAGCCAGTAGGCTCAAAATTATTAGGGAAACCAGCCAGACAAGATGATTGCCTAAGCCTCATTTCCTTAGGAAACTTGGCTTAAAAGTTAATATTAGCAATAACTTCTGAATTGGAACTACACTGTGCACTACAGAACTTCAGTGTGCACTGAATCTCTATACGCCCAAGTGCAGATTGGTGTGTTGCTCCTATTGTACTTTTGTGTAAACTTTCTCCTGGGCCCTGTTAGCAAACAAACCTCCCTCCAGCTACTGTGGGGGTGAACGGTCATAGCAGTGTCCTCAGCACTGGGACACTGAATGGGAGAGTCGGAGTCTCGTTGTTCCTTGGTTTACCCACTGGTGTTTTTGGGGTGTCAGCATCTGCTCAGCAGAAAGGAATGGAGGCCAGGTTTTCCCTGGCCTTCTGCACATTTTGAATCTGCACTCAAATCAGCAGTTTGCAGTGGGTTTCATCTCCTGTTACTGAGTAATTAATTTCCATGGCAGTTTTTAAGAAAGTCTTTTAAAAGACCCTGAATATATGAGTGCCAATTTGGTTTAATGTATCTATCTGGAGTCCTTAAATTGTTTTTTAATTTAATTTTTAAAGTTTTATGTCTTCTTTTTAGATAATGATTCATGGATGTGCAGTGTGAGAAATGTGTTTTCTGCTGCAAAGGTTGGAAACCTGGGTCTCCACTTTTTCATTGCTGCCTGTGGTCTGCATTTTTACCTGCATGGTGTTGTTCTTACTATATATCCCCCCTTTTCTCTTTCCCTTTTCTCAGAACAGTGCTTAAGAAATTACATTTATCTTTGCAGAATGCTGAAATGATAATTTCTGTAGGGAAAAAAAAAAAAAAGCATATTTCACAGCATTTCACAGCAGACTTCCTTCTCCATCTCTATCACATGTGGTCAGTGATAGTCACCTCACTGAGATCCCTTCAACTCATAGTGTGTTTAAGAAATTCCTTATATACTAAGAAAGGCACATGGCCAAAGCTGCCTGTGCTGAGATTTTGGCAGTGTGAATATGAAGTGGGGCAATGGCATTGTAACTGCTTTCCAGTGTGAGCTCATCTTCAGTATTCTGTTTTATCCTGAGGTGTTGACCTTTTTATTATCAGCCTCTCTGAAAGGAAGGATTACAACCATGTCTTGTCTGTGTCTTGTTTATGGTTTATATGTGACTCAAAGTTCTACCAGAAATTTAGTGCCATTTTACTGCCTGGTTTTACATTCTACCTGTGATGTACTAATTATCGGGGTGTGACAGAGCACTTATTTCCTATCATAAACCGGGGCTGTTATCCAGGAATGAAATTTTGTTTGAGTCATGAAAGGATGTAACAGTATGAAATATTCTCCGAGGACCATATTCTGATCCTGTTGACGTTGATTGGAATGTTAGTTTTGTCTACACTGAGTCACATAATGAAAGACAAGACATTACTATTCCTGCTTCTATTTTATTTTTTTAAGAGCCATTTCCCCGCAGTGCTGTGAGCACTGGACACTTGCATACCTCAGCTGAATACGTGGTGCAGCACTAGCATAGGATACTTAGTTTGGTAGGGAGCCACATTCTTTGTGGATGTAAATTAGTGTAGCTCCTTTCACATCAGGGGCAGTGCACTGTTTTATATTATGGGGAAGTCTTGCTCTCAGATTCAAGCTGCCATTTCCCCCCCCTTTTAGAAGGGAAAAAGCAAAGAGTCTCCTCTTGTAATCCATTCATACTAAGGGGAGGATGGGAGGAAAGAAATAAAACAATCTGGAGACTGTGTAGTTGTTTCCTAGTTCCCTACTAGTAGCACACAGTTAATGCACATGACTTAATGGGAATACACTTGCACTCAGCCACACTTGCCTACGGCAAAAGAGATAATGAAGTATTTCTGCTTATACCATCAAAAGCCTTCACTTGAATGGAGAAGTACAAGTAGGAACCAGATTCAAACCAAGAGCAAGGGTGAACAGAGGGCAGCCTCCAGCCTGGCCAGGGTTCCTTAACACTGCACAGTGACACTGGCTGTTGGACACTTAGGCATCATATGTTTGAGCCGCACGTTGCTGTTGCTATCAGTGTTTCATACATTCACAGGCTGATGGCTATTTCTTTGTTCCTCGTGGAAGAGAAGATAAAATTTAGAGACAAATGAAAACATTGGTCTTTTTGGCCAAATTTCAGCAGGCTAGATAGCCCACACTGTTCAGAACATGTGTGATAGACATTTCTGGTTGTAAGAGCAGAATTCAACCCTGAACTCAGGTACATGATTAACATGAAGCCAGAATGTCCCACCATACTTTTATAGCACTGGAATGCAAACTTTGATTTACAGTTCCAACTTTTCTTACTGATACCCTCCCTTCTCTTATCCTCCTGAAAAAAAAAAAGTGTTTTCATCTTTAACTTCTATCTTAAGTCTCTCTTTCTGATCTTCTACAGACTGAACCTTGGCAATTTTCAAGGAAATAGATGGCCTTTCTGTTCCATATATCCTATAATTTATTGGCTTCTTGCACCTGTCAAATGCCACATTTCCTCCCTCTGGGAGCATGCCAGCATGCCCCTGTTCATGCTGTTCATGTAACCCTCCTTCCCCTGTAACTAGAGAAAGAGATAAAGCTACAGGTGTCAGTTAAACCATGACTGTTTCTTTGATCTTTCCTATATATTTTCTTATTGGAATATTTCTTCCTAAGGGTTTTTCCCATGTAACCTTACTTTCAAATAGAGCATTTGTTTTGTTTTCAGTAGGCTTGGAGCCCCAATTTTGCCTGTGTACCTGTGAAAAATGTAAGTGAATCCCCTGATCTCAGTAGATCATGCTGGGTTAAACCTCATCCACACAGAGTTTTGGTCTCCCTGTCATCTTGTTCAGAAATGAAATTCCCATTTATGAATAACTCTTCAATGTGTGCTTCAGATCCACTCCTTATTTAAGAAAGCACTCAGATACCTTCCTGAATCAGGAATAAAGAAAAGATTCACTTTTATATAAGATATTGATTTTTTTAACAGGACAATTTCATGATTTAAAAAAAATCAGATCTATTAAAGAAAAAGCAGATCCTTACTTACTTTCTGTTATTTCCTTTGTCAGGACTGGAGCTCTTTCTAACTGATGTTCTGTAGCTGAAACAGAAGATGAGAGTATGAAGCTCACATTATTGAGGAGGCCATTTCCTAGTGCTATTCAAGAAGCTGGACATAGTCACCGCTAGCTCTCTCTGCATCACCGAAATGCAAACAGTTGGGCTCATCTCTGTGCCTTCCAGTGCAGACTTTCAGACACCTTAGTAGTAATAAATCCAAAAAAGCACATTTTTAAAAGTAATGCCATTAGCCACAGCTGGCATTTGCACAGCATGATCTGGACATCTAACCTGACCACTTTTAATTTTTGATTCTGATCCTTCCTTCTCCCTCTGTTTCTCCTGCCCTTGCAAAAAAACTCTGCTGCCTGAGTGAAATGGTTGGAGAGTGTCTGTGTTTCTAAAATAAATCAGTACTTGTGAGGTTCTCAAGAACTCTGAAAACATATCTGCACAGATCTTTTTTTTCTTCTTGCTTATGCTTTCCTTTCTTTCCATGTCAAAGCATTCATGTTGGGGCAGAGCCCAGACCATTTATTTCAGGTTTTCTTTTGCTGCAACTGGCAATGCCTTTTAGTCCCTGCATTGCTGAAAATGCCCCTGGACAGTATGGCAGACCCAGAACAAGCTCCCTGGGCCCTCCAGCCCCCAGTCCCATCTCCTTTAACCACCCTCACCCCCCCACCTCTGCCCTTCCATGAGCCAGGAGGACCATATAGCACCTCTTGCCTCTGCCTACAGGAGCCTTTCAAGGTATATCAGTGTGTGTGTGTGTGTACGCATGCATGTATATTTTAACCCTCTATGTAATGAATTTCTTTACTTTGATACTCCTCATACATCAGAAGAGGTGGCTGGGCAACACAAGCCAGAGGTTCATGGTAGTGTGTTTTCTCATCTCAGCCTATTGAACTATTGTCTTTAAAATATTTCTTGTAACATCTCTTTGGAGGTACATGTTTTAAAAATGGAAGGAGGATCTATGAGCTTGCTGCTATGTTTATTCAATTCTCAACCCTCCAAACACTTGAGAATTTGAATTACTCAGCTAGGCTTAATGAGGCTGACTCGGAGTAAAGTTATGTGCATAAAAGCCAAGGACAGGACACCTTGATGTTATGCATTTTTAGGAGGTTATGGGGTTTTCAATATTAATTTTTATTACTGAGCTGTCTGAAGGAGAACTCAGGCTGTACCTTTACATCAGGGCTTGCTACTACTTACCTTGCCGCAGAGGAACTCCTGGAATGTGGAAGTTTGTTTGTGGAAGCACTGCCATCTGTCAGTGCAGATCTGAGGGCTCCAGGTCAACCACTTCAAACTCAAACCTTGCTAACAGCTAACGCTGCTACCTCTGTGTAGGTTTGTGCTGCTAACCTCTAAGCTTTTTGATCAACAGCTTTCCCTTTGCCGCCATTTTCCAGTTAGTAGAATGGGGAAAATTACTTTGGATATTCAAAATGACCAGCATGAAGCATCACCATGGGCCATACTGTGATCCCTAAGTGGATCACACAAAGAAAGGGGTAAGAAAATTTGACTAGTCTAAAAGCCTGACCATTTTCCCATCCCAGCTTGTTTGGGATTTAAATGTTGGTTTGTGGTTTTTTTTCCTTCTCTTGAGTTGCCTTTGACCCTCTTTTTTTCTGATCCTGAAGAGTGTGAGAAGGCAAATTTGCTTGTGGCCTTAGCAGTTTTGAGCAACTGCTGGAAGGACTGCTGGCCTCATGCTGGAGATCTGAAGAAGAAGACAGGTTCCCATAATGCTCTGGACAGGAAATTGTTCAGATAGTCTGGCAAAGATGCACATGAGCATGGGGACTTTTTAGTGGTGGTCTGAATTAAACATCTAGGGACTCCACACAACTACAAGATTCTTCTTACGAGCTTCTCTGAGGCTTTATCCTGACCTCATCCCTGCTCCCATTTGCACATATAGTGAGAAAAATTCCTGTTGAGTTACCCTTAGGAAATGATTAGAAGAGAACTCATCCTTTTTCCTAGATGTGTTTTTGCTTTGCTAAAGCAGCTAAAGCTACCTACCCTTTCTATGTAGTAGATTTTGCTGAACACAACTGTGAGAGCAGAAAAACAGGTACCTTTTATTTTGGTAACAATTTTTATTCTGATTTTACTCAGACCTTTAGATGCATTTTTACATATCTGTCTTTATAATTTTCAGTTGGTAAAGGGATATGGTCAGAACATGCTGACTGCAGGAAATGAAAGCCCTTTTCAGAAATATTTCACTTTAATGAAGTAAATATCATGTTAGATCACTCCCAAAAACCTGAGTATTTGTCCTCTACAGCATGATTTTGGGTTTTATGCCATGTTGCAATATTCATACTACAATTATAAAAAATGCATAACCATAGAATTGCTTTTGGAATATTCTCTTTCACAGTAAAGTTATGAGATTATTAATTTTTTCCCCATTCTACTTGAAGGAATATTGAAGAATCTGAGAATTCCCCACAAAAGAGAAATTTCAAATTTTAATTAGCTTTACTAAAAGGACTGTCATCCCCACTTAGAGCTATGAGATTTTGGAAATCAAGTCCCACCTGTTTCCTCAGAGCATATGGGAAAGAATGGAAAGTGGAAGGACAGGAGAGAAAGGTGTACCTTTTGATGATTTGAAACATAAGCAGGACCCTCCATTCCTATAAACACCTTCCTGGCACGAGACAGCTGTTGCCACTGAAGCCTTCTACATATTTATTGAAATCCCAAGGATCCTTCCTTTTTTAACCTGTATTGTATCCCCACTGCCCTTGAGATCCTAGATTACAGCTGCTTTCCTCAGAACGATTTGATAAGAATATCTGTTTTGGACCCATGTCAGTGTTAGAGAATTACTGTCAAGCATCAAAAGATGCTCTCACTCTTCCCCTGGGGCTTTAAAGATGCTATTCTAAAATTAAAGTGTTTTGTATAGATAAGACACTTAGGGTTATAATGAGGTCAAGTGTTGCTGGCAGTTTCCAACAAGACTTCTTTTTAAATAAGTTGCTGTGGTTATTTTCCTTTTTCAACAGATAAGTATAGACAGACCAGGTAGAGAAACAGTTGGAAACAGGAAGCTTTAGAAAAATATTTGGAAATTATTCTGATTGCATTGTCTAATTCAAGTTGACCCATTTGATTATACTGGCCTCCTCTGCAATGCAATGTGACATGGAATATGTGATGTAATGAGATATGCCCGCCAAAATGCAATGTGCTGTGTTTTAGTCAGAATGTATTAATCCACTTACTGAATAATTGACCCAAAGAGATTCTGTCAAACAATATTAAATTATTCACTGGATTTCCAAACCAGCAGACAGTGTCCTTTAAATATTTAAGAATAATGTCAAATAATTTTCCACACCAAAAATACCTTTTTTGTGTTTACTGAGGTTTCCTGGCTGTTCTTTGTTGTTTAAGTGGGGCAGGATAATCAAATAAAAGCCAGTGTGCCCTTCAGGGGTGCCGTATGAGTCGGAGGGCAGAGGCTCTCCCACCTACCAGCACCCCCAGAAGGAGAAGCAAATCCTCACCTGGTTCAGTTGTCAGACCTTGCCAGATGTCATCCCATTAGCACACTTTTACTGCCTCACCCATGCATTTTAAAGGAAACTGCAAGCTCTCCACATACATACACATATATTTTACCACATAGCCTGTGCCTCAGCAGCAAGTTCCCCCAGAGAGGATGGAGCACTGAGGCTGTGAAGTGCCCTGCTATTCCCTACCCTCAGGCCTCACAGTACCTCTCTAGGTGTGCATTATGAGATAACAACCTCTCCGGATCAATTTTGGTGTGGAAAATAGGTTTCCTTAAAAAAGGGACACCAGTACAGCAGCATTCAAGTTCTACCAATTACAGTGTCTGACACCATTCCCCTTGAAGGTTGCATGCTGAACGAGTGCAGGGTATATTTCTGACTTGTTTAAAAAGGATGAGGAGAGGCATCTGATAGCTTACCTTAATTATTCCATTTCCTCCTCCCTATATACATTTCCAAAATCTAATTATAGTGCTCATGGCCCCTGCTATCAGCCAGTAGCCAGAGATTAATATAAAGCCACGGGAAGGACAGCTACCTCCCTTCACGCTTTCCACAACATTGCAAATCTATTCCAGCAGTCTTTTGATACTAATATTTTGACACATTCATCATTGTGTTAGCATCGGCAGTGAGCAATATTTACAGTTTATAAGCTTTTCCAGGACCAACTGTTCATATTACTCCTATTAAGTCCATTCAATTTTCCACCTGAAATACCACATTTATCTAGTCAGAGTTTGACATCTATTTTCAGGGGGGAGGGGGTTGCTTTTAATAACGAGTTTTATTTAATTGTATGTTTTGCTTCTCCTGAAGAATACGCTAAGGCAATCTGTTACATATTGTCAATCAAGTAAGATGCACTTGGCTGCATTCTCGGCTGCATTATCTAGGTCCTGATATGAGGACATTTTTGTGCATATACATCTGTGTGTGTTGAGATGGAATTGCTTATCTGTTCTGTGGCTTTATTTGGACTGGAATTTGCTGCAATGTCCTCATGAGTTGCAGGAATGCTGTCCAGAGGTGTGTTCTGTGCAGCTGGGGGGCAGTGGGCAGCCCTCCATGATAAGTTTGCTATTCCAAGCCACAAGTATTGTCACACTGTTTATTTTAGTAAACAATATGACTCCAAACATATGAAATATTCTTTATTTGTCAAAGTATATGTAATGATTCTCTTACTTTAAAGGTGTTTAGATTTGGCTTTAGGAGACAGCATACCCTATGAGTCTTCTCAACCACACCAGAAGCAAAGCCCAAACAGAACAAAAACACATAGGAAATTCTTCTTATATTCTTCTTAACATTATTATTATTATTACTTAAGGATCAAGGGAGAAAATTATACCAGCACTGAAAATAAACTTTACACCTCCTGAAAAGACTTATGTAGGTCTCTGAACTTTTAATACCAAGGTGGCCACGGACATCACACAATTCAGTGTTCTGTTTGGAACAGCAACAGCAAACCAAGACTTGGCCAGAGACTGCACTAGTCCATCATTTTGCCTGATGGACTAGTGGGCTCCCCTGCTCACTGCACAGGGAAATTTACCCCCAGAATAAGAGCTTGTGAGTGGCTTCTTTTGGCATAAAACTGCCACCTTTTTCTCATACTTCCTCTGTGCACACCAGGGTTTGTGCCTGGTCCTGGTGTGCAAAGAGCATGTCTGAGACCCCTGTTAGCAGTCATTGCATGTAGCAGAGGTGATGCACAGAGCTAGTTGGGAAGGAAGTTGCTGTTTTATGAGAAATTCTGCATTAAATTATGTTAAACATACCAGGAACAAACAGAAAACCCCACAGTAATTTCCAGGGGTGGGTAAAAAAAAAAAAGAAAATTAGGGTCATACCAAAGGCTTAAAAGAATTGAAATCTTTGATTTGAATTTCAGCCTTTTAAAAAAAATCTATATAATAAATGTACATGCATAAAGGAATTAAGTCAAATTGAATCAGAAACTAAAAATCTTTTTTTTTTTCCCCCAGAAATGACATGCTAGAGCACTCTCATCTTCCTTGGATGGTTAATTTCTCTGTACTTCAGGTATTGCTTCTTGCGATCTTGTCCCTTGTTGGTCTACTGATATCTCAGGTGAGTCAAGCCCAGACTTCTCCCCCAGCATGCTGTTCTTACTGTACTTGTTGAACAGGGCAGCACAGAGCTATGGCAATCACTGCTCTTCCGAGAGTTACTTCCTTGAGCAACATCCACTCCGAGTCAAGAGAGAAGGAGGCATCTGTGTCCCAGGGACCTGCCCCAAAGAGTATGTCTTCCTGCAGGAGCTTTTCAGGGTGTGTGGAGACTCTTCTCCAGACACAGCATGAAGGAGAAAAGGAAGAGCAGGACTGGTGAACGCCAGAACATGGTTCTACTTACTCTTCCCTCGGGCAGAGAATTGCAAGTGCTATGCAGGCACCCTGCTCCTCCAATGGAATAGGAGAATTCAGCACCAAGGGAAAGCCCCAGAGCTAACAGACACTATAATCCTGTCACAGTGGGGTTCTTGAAAGTGTAATCTGCTGTCTGTATCTGAATTCAGAGAGGTGGAATGCTTTCCCCAGATATGCAGCTAATGGCTATTAGACCTAGGGTAAAAATCTTGCCCTGCAACTTCCAGTCTGAAGCAACGAAACTCATTTTCTTCCTATGGGGCACTTCCTATCTATGGGGCACTGTCTGTGGTGCACCGCTCTACTGGTAACATTCACTACACTGATGGATATGTACTGTATAGCTTATATGAAACTAATGAAATGAGTTTGGAGGACTTGTCTTGCTTTGGCTGCAACGCCAGCAGGATGCTGAAATGTTGCTGACTGTGTGCAGTCCTGCAAACTAAACTTTTCAGGAGAAAGGCTGCCAAAGCTTTACAAAAAGCATCTTAACTTCAGGTGCTCCAGCACTGTCAGGCAGGGCAGTGATGTGCTGGGATGTGCTCTGTGTGTGCGTGTGCTGGGGGCTAACACCAGTGTGAAGCAAACATCTTTTGAATGAATTGGTGCTGGAGGGGATATGCACAACATCCCGAGGTGGCCTCAGCGAGACATCTGACTGATTAGATATTGAAGTCAGGCGCTGAGATACCAAGGTCATGCCACATCCTGCTTTCCTCATCTAGCTGGGCCCCGATAAAATAGCAGCTGGTAAGACCACCAATCAGATAAGGTGGCAATTTTCAACAGTCTCAAATTATTGTTGCAGCAAGGGAGGTCCAGATAAGATCAATCAGATGCTGGAACGATTTAGCCATTCTGATTCCCCTCCGCCCTTTTTTTCCTTTCTTCTTTCTGGAGACAGCCTGTCTTGTAAATGTGAATGCAGGGAGCACTTGCAGAGACCCTCACCATCCTCAGAACAAAACATGAGAGTTGATTTATGGGCTGGATTACATGGAAATGGTAATTCTTTGCTCTTTATGATGTTTAGCCGGAAAGTGCAGTACCTTCCAGTCAGAGCAGCAATATCGACATGAGGTTTTTACAAAAGGGGTGAGAGAAGGGGGGTGGTGATGATTACAGAAGCTCCTCTAACACTGCAGTTAATAAGACACCAGAACATTAATCAAGTGACAGGTATTGAGTCTAACAGGGCAAGGCAATAGTTTCTAAAAGCAGCCAGTTAAGTTACTACCTGGTAGAAAAAGGCTGACTGAATGCCACAAGTTTTATGCCACTATTTGCAATTAAAGTTATTTTTTATCCCACTTCCCTTTTTGTTTTTCTTTTTTCAATGTTTTAAAATGTCTTTTTTGGACCTGTAAGAAAATGAGAGATAAACCACACAGGGCTGTAACAGAGGGCTGCATAGTCCCTTTCCCGTTGACCAGCTGTGCCCTGGGCTATACGTCTGTTATTTGCACAGTACCTCACTGTGGTCCCTCCCCTGAGCCATACCCCAAGGGCTCCATGCAGATGACTGACTCCTGAGGGTCACGGCACAGAAGACAGACTCCAATGTTTGATACAGCTGGACAAACTCCTGACTAAAAGAGACCTGATTCTCAATTGCAACCTAGAGGTGTGGCTCTCTTCTTTCATGTGACACTCCAGGCAGCTTTATTGCACCAGACCATGTACACCCCAGCCTCCTTTATCACCACCCGCCCGACCAGAATTGGCATAGTCAAAGGGGAGGAAGAGTTGGGGTAGTCCTGGTACACAGTTACAAATGAGCCCATACCTCCTTGGTGTCTTTTGTTTAAAGGAGCTCCAGTCACTTTAATCCTGCGGTTACCGATGTTATAATGCAACTTATTTTTCATTGCTAAACCCTGGTTGTTATCAGAAATACTATAAAACAAAGGAAGAAAACATCACTAAATGAACCATTCCCATGATTTTGTAGACTTCCTGCAAGTGCACATGCTCTTTTTTTTGAGCCTTAGTCAAACTATTTGCCATGACAAGTTGGGAGCACTGGGCAAGACCAAAGCAGGCAGAGTAGTCATATATAGAATCATAGCATTGTTAAGATTGGAAAAAACCTTTAAGATCATCTACTCCAGTAGTTAACCTAGCACTACCACCCTGTTCACTATTAAACTCTATTACTTCCTTGGGCAGTCTGAATAGGTTAAGTTTTGTCTTGCTTCCCATATGACAAATATAGATTTCCAGGACCATGCCAGGACCATACTACTCTGTGATGAAATGGACCTTTAAAGTAGGATGCAAACAGATGTCGCCACTGTAAATGAGTCATAAGAATTGCCTGCCCAGAGGACATCTAAAGTCCATCTTGCTCATTAATCAGTCCCTGACAGTGATCAAATCCTGATATTTCAAGGGAAGATAAAAAAATAATTCTAATAAACAGAGACAAGAACATAATTTGCTCCAATCTGGTGCTATTGGAAAGAAGTGTTCTCTAGACTCTGGACTAATCATTAGCAAATGACAAGCAACCAAAGGTGAATAGGTGGTTCTGCAGCTGAGAATCATAAAATGGAGTTTTATGGTCAGTGCTGGCAGTGACTACAATACTACTACTAGCAGCTTCCAGGAGTGGCTATGTTTGTAAGACGAAGTCTATAAATTTGGGAGTAGATCACATAGGTAAGCCACCAGACTGGCCTGCGAATAACCAATTCCAGGAGGGCTTGCAAGGAACTTCCTTTATTCCAGTGAACACAATGACTATTGCAACTCAGTACAGCTTTTTCTGGCTGATGTGCGTGAGCTTTGCTCAACTGGAAGCAAGGAAACTACAGTGATTCTCAGCAGCTAAAGACCTGACACACAGTTTTCAGATTTTCTTTAGTTTTGTCTTGCCTTTTGAAGGTTGAAGATTGCATTTAGAGGTCTTTGTGTTTGGTTTTATGGACTTGAGAAGACATCTGACAGTAGCCATGCTGAATAATGGCTATGTGGATTTCCTGATGCTAACTAAAATAATCCTTTTTTTTTTTAACATAACTTTGTGCTAAAGAGTAGAGCTGAGGCTAGGTAAGATGTGCTTAGAAAATAATTTCTCTAGCAAGTTCTGATATATTTTTCTGAAAAATAATTTAAAATTTATCTTATGTTTTCCCAGCTGTTTGCTCTCTGCAATTGCTCTCCACATCATAGCATCAGAATATACTGCAGGTTACAAGGTAACCAAGGGAGATGCCTAAGCTAGTTCTAACTTAGTGGTTGTTTGAAATAATGCTGCTGCAGACGTATTTCTTCTGGTATCTAAGCCAGTTTAAAGCAGTTGGCTATCTCTACTTCACAATGCTGTCTGGGATGTAGATATATGCTTCCAATCCTTGGTCAATTAACAGAAAATATTGATGAACACTCTCACACTTTAATATTTGTTTCTCAGTGAAAAATCCCTCCCTAAGTACTTTGTGGTGTAACTGTAGCTGACTAAATACAAATATAAGTCATGCAATCATGTTTGCCACCCACCTCTGTCTCTGCAGAGCTCTATGAGCAAATCCAGAGACACTCCAGTTCACAAGAGCAGTGTGGTTGGCTGAAGCTGCTGCTGCTGCTGCTGCTGCTGCTGCTAGCCTGGCCACCTGCTTCTAGCCAAAGGAAAATCTTGGCCCCATTGAACTCACTGGCAAAACTCTTGTGGGACCAAAATATGTACTGCAGCAAACACTCAGAGTGCATAAAGAGCAAGACTGTCTGTTTTCTCTCCCAGAAACAACTGGACTCTGCAGCTGGACTATCACTTTGAATGTTGGTGCTAAATAAATCACCTCCCTGTGTCATCTTCTCACTCTAAACAAAGCTCTTTTTTCACTCTGTTGTTTTAGCATATGATATCATTATCAACAGTAAGGTACATTTTGTTTCTTTTTCTCCATGCCTGATATTTGGATTATATTTGCTTGTAGGTGTTTTTTGTTTTCCCCAACACAATACAGAAACATGGGGAAGCATGAGGTTGTTTTATGATTGCCAGAACACAGATAACTTGAAGAGTTTAAGCTCACCTAACTCCCACTCAGACTGTCTGCATCTCATCTAGAAGGCCTGTCTGCAGTCCAGAGCTGACTTCCTTGGAGTTCTTTACCTGCAGACACTTGCAAGTGTTAGATAATTTCCTAATTAGACTGAATGCACTACAACAGCTCTCTTTTAGTTTCATATCTGTTCTTGGAAGTAGATGCTCTGGTGCAACAGGCATTTTTCTCTGAGCCAGAGCTGTGGTACATTGGAGCAGAGATGGATAGGCAGCTTGCTTCCATCTCCTTCCCTGGGGATGTCTGTGAAGTTTCCTGAAGGACCGTGCTGTGACACCAGGCAGGAAGGCAGAGCCCCACTGCTTTAGGACTGAACCCAAAAGGGCAGCAGGCACATAACAGCTCCTGCTCCTGCAGTCTTCTCTCTATTGCAGAGAAATATGTGTGGCTTAAACCTCAGGAATATCTAGAGTCTTCTGTGGTCAGTGGAGACTGAAGGGGAGATTAAATTATATGGCTGGTACCCTCTGGAGACCTGTGAAGGTATCTACTTATTTGTACTTGCTAGAAAATGTAGGCATCAGCTGGCATCAGAAACCTAAAATTTTCAGAGACAGTGCCTAAATAGGACACTCCAAGTAGATGGACTGGGTTCCACTTTTGGTTAATAGACTGACAAATGGTCTGTAAA